GGCTGAGACCACCCTCCTGCCTCAACTCCCCTCTAAGTGGGTTACCTTTCATCTCAGAATTCCCCTCCTGCCCACCAAACCTAGCCACTTAGCAACAAGTCCAATAACCGATCAAGTAGTGGCCCTCAGAGCAGTGGAGATGCGCCCCTGCCCCATAAAACAGGACCACAGCCTCAGATTCATTTCTTGGTGTCCCAGCTCTGGGCCATCTGGTACTTCCTCTTGCGACATTTGCAGTCAGGTCACTTTGCACCTGTCCTCTTCCTCCTCTTTCCTCTTCTATGTCAGAGAGAGAGAAGCATGGCTAAGGTGAGTTTGGGGAGCCCTGGACCTCAGACCCACCAAGCAGACGGAAGGAAGGGAGAGGAGAGGAGAGGAGAGGAGAGGAGAGGAGAGGAGAGGAGAGGAGAGGAGAGGAGAGGAGAGGAAAGGAGAGAAGAGGAATGGGGAGGGGAGGGGAGGAGAAGAGAGGAGAGGAGAGGAGGGAAGGAGGTGTAGAGCTGTCAAGGCTAACAGATTTAGGTCAGGCTGGGGATTTAGCTCAAGTGCCTCCTTGACAAATGTGAGGTCATGAGTTCCATCCCTGGTACAAAAAGGAAAGAAAGAAAGGAAGGAAGGAAGGAAGGAAGGAAGGAAGGAAGGAAGGAAAGAAGAAAGAGATTTATGATCAGGACCTTTATAGGAACATTTGTGACACTACTCTAAACTTTTAAATTTCCTCTGTCTTACAGTTTACTTGAATAGAATAAAAACTTTATTTCTTAATGAAGCAAATATTCCCTATTACTGTTCAGGGAAATTTTCCAAAATCTGATAAAAGCAGATCTGTGAGCTGCTCACTCAGGCAGACTCGGCCTTAGGGTCCCCCACCCCACCCCATCTGACCTATTTGCCTCTGCCTTGGTCCTGGGATTTATTCCCGCCAGGGTGTGTCTGGGGATGTGTTGATTAGCTATAAATATCCTTTATAGCGCTTCTCTGGGAACACGGAATGACTGCCAGTTAAGGATCAATGATGGGGAATTTCCAAGGTGATACTGCAGTGCTTGCTGATAGCCTGGGGTCCCGCGGGTTCTGAGAAGAGAGGAGAACAGAAAGGAGCCAGAGTGCCCTGGCTGCCCATCTCCACTCCTGCCTCTTTCATTTCTCTTCACCGCTTCCTTGACTTGCGCTCCTCCTCCTCCCCTATCTGCAGAGATAATGCACGCTTGCAGGTGGAAAACAGGCAGCTTCGCTGGCGTCGCTCTGGGTCTTCAGGTCTCATCAGAGCTTACAGATGCTTCTCTTGCTGAATCTATCCTTGTTTCTTTAAAGGAAAAATCCTTCATGAACTCAAGTGTGTGATGAACTCAACTGGGTGATGGGATTCCAGTCACCCAGGAAGAGATCCTAGACAAGAAAATCTTTTCTAGAGCCTTGGGTCGATAAAAGCCTTTACTCTAAAGGCTAATTCTCCAAAAGTCCTGCGCAATCACCCCACGAAAGCCTCCACTTTACCCCCTTCAATCCCTCAGCACCCCTTCTACCTTCTTCCTTTGCTCTTATTTCTGGAGTTGCACCAAGTTCCAGGATTGATGTTGCTGCTATTTTCCTGCCACTATATTCGGTAAAATATTACTTACTGGTCCTGCCATAAACATTCACAGTAAGTCTCCTTGAGATGTTCAGTGGCCAAATGCTTCTTCCATTTACACTCATCCTCCACAGAAGGAAGATCTCTACAGAAAGACAGACAGATAGATGATAGATAGACAGGTGCATGGATGGATAGAGATGGATGCATCGATGGATAGATAGATAGAAATATAGATAGATGGATGCATGGATAGACACATAGATAAATGCATGGATGGATGGATGGATAAACAGATCCAAGAATGGATAGATAGATGCATGGATGGATAGATGGATAGATAGATGGGGAGATGGACAGATAGATACATGGATGGAGACATATATGATAGATGGGTGGATAGATAGATGCATGAATGGATAGATTTATAGCTAGATAAATGGATGCAGGAATGGGTAGGTAGATGAATGCATGAACAGATAGATAGATAGGTAGATAGATAGATAGATAGATAGATAGATAGAGCTATAAATGAAAGAGTTTATCCAGAGAGGAGGGGCCTTGATGTAGCTGTGTGTCAGGGAACACATACCAAGGAACATAGCTAAGAGCTGGCATCTGAACAAGAACTAGACAGGAAAGTAGGTGAACAAAAGCACACCAGGCAAAGGTAAGAAAAAATACAGAGATACTAAAGGAGAAAGGGGCTTCCAGAATTACAGAACTGAAAGAAAGGCAGAGTATGCGGACTGCGGAAAAAGAAGGGGGCTTTGGGAGATGGGCCGGCACAGGCCTTGCCCCACCCAGCCTTATAGGACCTGCTGGTTATTCTGGACTGGCAGAGTGGGCATGCAGGGGTAGAGGTGGCCTGCTACAGGGTGCAGAGTGACTGGAACGGGGTGGAAATAGAGACGGGGAGACAGATCCACAAGGAGGCTGCTGCAGCGGGCAGGCAGGCAGCAGCGCATGATGCAGGCGCAGCAGTGGAAGTGGACAGAAATTCACGGAGTTGGCAAATACTTAGGTTTTGGTGAGCATTGTCGCCAGGCATGGTGACTCACACCTACAAACCCAGCACTCTGGAAGGCTAAGGCAGGAAGATCCAAGTTCAAACCCAGCCTGGGAAACTTAGAAACTTAATGAGATCATATCTCAAAATTAAAAGTTTAAAAAAAGGGCTGAGGATGTAGCTAAGTGTGAAGGCCCTGGGTTTGATCCCCAGTACTATGAAAACTGCAGAGAAGAAAGGCTAAGAAAAACCAGGGGAGTCAGCAGTCAAGCTGCTCCAGGTTTTGGCCTGAATATCAGGTGTTGGAAGGAGCAGGGTGTTTTTCTTCTGGCAGTTTTAATGTGTGAAATGTGTCTTAAAATTATTATTATTTTGGGGGGTGGACAAGGTCTTGCTATGTAGCTCAGGCTGAACTTGGACTCACTCTATAGCTGAGCCTGGCCTGGAACCTGCAGTGATCCTCTTGCCTCAGCCTCCCAAGTTCTGGGATTACAGGTGTGCACCACCACACTTGACCTGTTTTATAATTACTTAATTATTTATATTTATATATTTTATATCCCCCCCAGTACTGGGGCTTGAACTCAGGGCCTTCATACTGAGCTACACCCCAGTATTTTAATGTTTTTTAAATTTTGAGACAGAGCCTCAAAAACAAAGCTACTAAATTACCTAGGCTGGGTTCAAATCTGAGAGTCTTCTGCCTCAGCCTGCCAGAGTTCTGGGATTATAGGGATGGGGCACCACCTCTCAGCTTTATATTTGCTCTTCTATCATATCCACTGACAGATATATTTATCTGTGAAACCACTGATGTTGCTTTAAGTGACTGCATTGTAGGCAGTAGTATTTTTTCAATTTTTTTAATCTTACAGAGATATTGTACAATGATATATAAATACAATTTTTAGAATGCTTGGCTAGTGAAATTATGTATACGGAAGGTGCACAACACCATGTTTTAAGATACCTGTAGTTGTGAAATAATTACTGCAGCTGGGTTAATTAACACATGCATCACCTCACAGGCAGCAATTCCTAATTTGGGAGAAGCGGCTGTGTCGCTGGGATTGTTTGCATGAAGCAAAGCATTGGCTTCAGGTTCCATCGATTAAACTGGAAAGCCTGGGGCTCATCTGGGGTGCAGAAAAGGGCCCTGAGGAAAGTTCCCCTCAGGAGTACAGAGGCAAAGACAGAGAAGGGGAAGGAAAAGCAGAAACTGTGGCAGGCATGAGAGACAGGGAGAAAGACAGGAAAAGAGAGAGAGAGAGAGAGAGAGAGAGAGAGAGAGAGAGAGAGAGAGAGAGAGGCTTAGCAATGAGGAAGATGCAGCTCTGACACACAGACAGATGGAGCTGGGGGCTCCGGGAGGAGCAAGACTCACTCTGCAAGGGGAGGACCCAGATTAGATGGGCTGAGGGATGGATGCCAGGCAACGGCCAGGTAGGAGTGGGCTTCTTTCTCTGACCAAAAAGAGCCTCAGCTCCTGCCCCAGACAAAGCCAATCCTCCTCGGGAATCACTTTAAATGTTCATCACCCAGATCCAGCTGGGCATCCTAGTGTTAGGAATTGATGATAACAAGAATCAAAGCCAAGAGACCAAAAAGACCCTGACTTTTAGCCTTGACCTTGATTTATTCTAAAAGGGATTCAGACACAACCGTACCAGAACCATTTAGCTGCATGCAAGTCATGCCCCTCCCATGCTAGTTACAAAAGCAGGTGGTCCTGCAGCCCGAGCTCTTGGAGGCCAAGGTCAGACCTGCTCCTGGAGGCCCAACTGAGTGAGATTGGGATAAGAAAGCAAAGCAGAGCTACGCAGGCCTCTTCTCACAGAGATGAGGGGGACAGATGTAGGAAGCACGCCTGAAGGGCTGCCAGAATGGAGGTGCTATCCTAGAAGAGCCCTTTGCCCGAACACTGCAATCACTAATGTAGCTGGCAAGGTTGCTTCCCGGAGGTAAACAGTGGATTCTTTCAAAACAGGGTGTGCCTTGAAGAGCAAAACCTGGAGAGAGCCCAAAGGTCCTTCGGGAAAGGCACACCAGTGATGGGATGAAATCTCTAAGGGGAGATAGGAAAGTGCAGGCTTTTAAGGTCATAATCCCAATACTGGGGTATTTTGTTGAAGTCCAAATGGTGTCCTTTCAAGGTTATTTGGTGAAGATGTTCAGGCTCTGCACTGTATAGCTACAGTCATGACGTATATATCATAGCCAAAGCCCCCTGCCAAGGCCCTGACAGCAGCTTCCTGGAGATGAGATCTACCTGTGCAGGGGGTGAAATCCTAAAACACATGTACCTATATGAAGGGTAGCTGTTTTTACTAGGCAAAGTAGGTATCTTTCATTTTTTTCTCATAGTACTTAACCCCGGACAATACATAACTGAAGGTTTGAAAGATGATTTTTGCAATGTCCACATCAACAAAACTTTTATTCCAGTCTTGTTAAAAATCATAGGCTAGAGGCTTAGGCCACAGTTCTCATCCGGGCCACTCTTGGGCCAGTGGTTGTGTCCCTGCAGAAGCAGGTGCTCACTGGGCGGTGCACCTGTTTCAAGGGATGGAGGAGAGAAGGAGGGCATGGTCCGAGGTCCAAGCTCAACCCCAGAAGCTTGGCACACAGAACGTCCATGCTAAGACCAGTGCCGGGGAGCAAGAAAGCGGGCTCTATTGAGGATGCTCGCTGAAAGAGGCAGAGATTTCAATGTCCCATATATCACCTTGCAAGTCTTTGGGGACGTGGCAAATATTTCTATATGGATCAGCTTAGAGTGACAAGCAAGAATTAGCATTTTCCAGGAGCTTGAGTCAGGTGATCTGGGGTTTAGGCACACACTGGAGGAGCTGAACGGCATCTTTTATCTCGAGGGCCGGATGTACCAGTTCCAGGTCAGTTTCGTGGTTAACCACCACATCCGGTTTCTGCAAACAACAGCTCAAAAAAAGCAAGATCACAGCAATGCAGAGTAAAGGTCAGATTCTGAGAGTGAGACAGAAAACCAAACAAAGCAAGATGGAGTTGTTGGTGGCAACAGCTTGCCACAGCTGCCTGGATGGCGACCCGGGACCTTCTTTCTGCATGAGAAGGAGGGGAAGATCAGCTTACTCAGTGATGGAGGCTGCGGATGCTGTGGGTGGGGACAGGTGTAGCTCATCCGTGTGAGTGTGGGTGTAGACCATAACCCCTGACAGGCTAGAAAGGGATCTGGAAAGGCCAATGTGTTTAACCTAAAATTGTTAGGAGAGCACCTTCGCATTTCTAGTTTACACTTGAACCTTGAACTTTCAGTTTATGGAAAATGCTCATCTCTGTGAGAAGGTAAAATTTCTAACCTGTGCATTCTAGAATTTGGGTTTTACCACATTTGATTATTATTGCTTTTTAATGTGCAGGGCTCTGGGTTGGGTCATTATCCATACCATCCCTCAAAATATTCTGGGCATTCTGGGGAGCTCAGTGTTTGTTCTCTGCTCCTGATGAGGCCTTAGGCTTCTGCGGCCTTCAGCAGAGGCCAGAAGTTGCCTTGTCGAGTGTGACTCAGGCACAAGAGGGCGATGTGAACTCACTCACAAGGAGTCCACCTTCCCCCGGGAATTTCTGGTTTTCCTCCCACACCCAAGAGGGACAGGGCAGTTTTGGGAGGGACGGGATTAGCCTGCCAGGAACAGGGAGGAGTTCCTACCCTTCCATTCAAAGCTGTGCAGTTGGGATTCAGGATTGCTGTCGCTGAGACTCGTCCTCTGCTGGGAGACATTCAGAAAAGACCCACTTTGAGGCGCAGAGAATCGGCAGCTGTCTTGATTGCTCCTGACAAAAACTTTATTCTGAGAAATCCCCTCATTCACCAGGAGAAGTGGACCATGCATTTGTTCTGCAGGAAGCATTGAGTCCAGGGTGCAGAACACAGTTTATGTGAAGCGGCCCAGGTCCCTGCCCTTGGAAGCAAGTCAATAAGGCCGGGTCCAGTCTCCACCCGCTCATTCCTTTTCTCTTCAAGCCGGTCTGTGCCAGCAGCAACTATTCTCACTCTGAAACAGAATTTGAGTCACAGTCGGCCTCCCAGAATGCTCTCCCACCCTGGCTGCCGGCCACCTTTTCTCAGCTACGCCATCTGGTTGCAGTTTCTGTGACTGTCTCATGGAAAGTGGTGATTCCAGCAGCCTTTCCCTGAGCAGAAGGGGTGGCTGGTGGTGGGGGGTCGCTTTTGCCTCCCGGTGGCTCTGGCTGTGCCCGATATCACTCCGCTGATTTCTGAGTTTACTCAAAAAACCAAGTAATGCCTGGCCCTGCTTGTGTGGACCCTCCCTCGATGGCTTCGGCCAGAGGGAACCCCAGGTCCCCCGAACCCTCTACATGCCACAGCACTGCCATCTCACCTCACTGCAGGAGCACCATGCTGCATTTCACGACCAGGTTGCTGCATACCTGTGATTCCCAGCGTTCTGGGAGGCTGAGTTGGAAGATGGCAAATCTGAGGCCAGTCTGGGTAGCTCAGTGACTTCATGAGACTCTGTCCCCAAATTAAAGTTTAAAAATCGGTGGGAGATACAGTGCAGTATGAAAGCACCGGATTCCCTCCCCAGAACTGCGAATAAACATCACTCGCTTTTCAGTTTTCAAGAGCCATACTTTGCCATTAGCTATTTTTAAAATAGAGTTTCGAGGCAGGAGGAACGCAAGGGGTACATCTGTCTAGTAAACCATCCTCAACATGCACGCACGCGCGCGTGCACATACGCACCCAGACACACATTCATACCACCCCCAATTAGGTGGTAGCACCCACGAGTAGCCTCCCCATGAAGCCAACTTTATCTCACTGTGACTGATTTCACAAACTCTTCAGGGTCCTACAACACCAGCATCTGATGACCCTCATGTCTGCGTAGCGGGTTAAAACATGGGGTATGCCATCAATAGCTTGTGGGTCCCCTTTCAAAAAAGGTCAAGGGGCACCATGGTTCAAAGGCTGTGACCCAGGCCCAAGCCTCACCACACTGTCATGGTCAGGTGGAAGTGCCCGGTTTTCTGAGGTCTCTCGTGTGTCAGCAGGGGCTGGGCTGCTGCTTCCCTTCTCTAATTCTGGCCCTGGGGCTCCACCTGCAACTCTCTGTACTGGGAACCCTCAGGGCTCATCACCAGATTAAGTGAACAACACACCCTGGCTGCTTCGTGTTCCTCCCAGACATGTGACTCCCCAGTTTTGTGGGAAGATCCTGCAGTGCACAGGGCAAGGATGGAAGCCTCATGCAAGGACTCACAGGGTCCTTGATGAGCTGAAGGATATGAGAAGGAAGAACACGTGGTCCTAAACGTGCTCTGCATTTTGCTCCATCTCACTTTGGGGGAGCAGTCCAGCTTCTGTCAGACACGCCTCCCTTGTCTGTCAGCGCCCAGTCGCTCGCCAGCTTTGTTTATTCTCTATCGGGTGTCATTTGCAGAGTCTGTCTTTCTTGTCAAGGGGGTTTTAATTCATCATTCCCCTCAGGCTGTGAAAGAATTTCTTGCTTTGCAGGAAAAGTGCTGTGAAGATTTTATGACAAAAATTACAGCGCTTTCTTTAGATGGGATGAAAGAATTGTTTATTTGTGTGCAGGTAAGAGATAAGGCACCGTATTAAAATCAAAGGGTTTAAAAGCATCAACGGTAAAAAAAAATAATAATAACACTTTTCTATTGTCTCCCTTTCCATCACCTGCCTCCTCTGAATGGAACCAACCACTGTACTAAGAGTTTACATTGTTCTAAAGATTGTCACTAAATAAACTAATATGTACAGCCCGGTGTGGTGGTGCATGCCTATAATCCCAGCACTCAGAAAGTAGAGGCAGGAGGATCACTACAAATTTGAGACCAGCCTGAGCTACAAAGTGAGCTCAAGGCCAGCCTGAACTGCATAGTGAGACCCTGTCTCAAAAAGACCAAAAACAAACAAAAAAACACAACACTAAGCAAGCGCTGTGCTACTAAGCAGCACCCCAGCCTTTCTGTGTCTTTTGAAAGTACCTCTTTCTAAGTCAGGTGGATTCAGAAAAGCTATATATTGGCCGTATGTTATGTACTGAATGTATTAACGTGGTTTGTCCAATGAAAGCCCTGATTATGGACTGCAAAGCAAGACTGCTTTTCAACACAAATGCTGCTGCTGGCTTGTAACCCTCTCACCAGCGTGGTGGCTTCTCTGCAGGAAGATGCAGCCAGTTTCTTGCCCTCCTGACGTCCAGTTCCTAACTCCAGAGCTGCACCTGCCAGTCAGTTCCCCTGAAATGCAGACAAGGGCCTCAAGTCTTGAAAAAGGGGTCTCAGTGCTTTGAAAAGCAAGATCTTTTGTTATTAAAATCCAGGAGAACAGCAATTTAGCACTCAGCTGCCCATGCTCAAAGCCAGGAAAAATGGTTTCTGGAAGCATTTTGGGTAGTCCAGGGGATCTGTGTGTCAGGCAGAGGACACACCTGTTCCATTCCTGAAGCTTCCTGAATGGAACCACAGCAGCTGTGGTGATCCCAAAAAGTGCTGTCGGGGTGGGGGTGTAGCTCAGTGGTAGAGCACTTGCCTGCCATGTGCCCAGCCCTCAGACTCATCCCCAGCACCGCCTAAAAAAATGCCTTCAATGTCTTGATGCATGGATGTGGAAAGGTTGTGTTTGATATTTTTAGTTATCTGATTTCCTTGCTAAGGGATTTGCTGCAGGCCTAGATGCATATTAGTGTACAGATATTCTCCTCTCCAGCCTATTGATTAGGAGATCTTCTTGAGCATATGCCCCCTGGCCATGTTAGGAGCTGCTAAGAATTGGTGACTTGGTGACCAATCAAAGGCTTCTAAAGCCCTCAGCCTCCTAAATCTTAATGTATTGACACTAGTACTAATTTTTCAACTGCTTTTCACAGTTGAACCGTTTATCTGACTGAATGCTGTATTTATAGGCAGACAATTCTTGGTAGCCCCAGGCAGCTAAATGTGGCTCCAGTAACGCCTCATACCTCCTCCTTGTCACAAACTGTGGGACTGCTGAGCTGTCCTGGGGAAAGGAGAGGAGTTGTTTGGTTTTATTTATGCTGCAGAATGTATCTAGACTCCTTTGGGCTCTTTTCTCTTCATTTTCTCCTGTACACTACGTAGGAGAAATGTTTGGGGTTTACGACCAAACATTATGGAGTCCAAAGATATTAAGTCTTTAAAATTGCATTCAAGTCCAACTCTCTGAGGGCAAACACTCAACCTAGCCATTCCTGCTCCTTAAGGAGAAGCCACAAGCAGCAACCTCCAGGGCACAAATTAGCCATCCTGTCTTTTAGATCCCTGGGGTGTGAGTGATTCTTGAGGTTTCCGGGTGTGGCCTCAACATTGGAGTTGTTCTATTTTGGTGGCTTTCAATTCATTTGGTTTTCTGCCCACAGGCGAGTAGAGGTAAAACCGATCTACCAAGCCTTATCTCAAACCTATCTGAAGAGATATGGGGATTTCCTGGGGTTTTAGTGCCCAAGAATTAGTTCCATTACACAGGAAGCACTTCTCTGTGCCTAATGTAGCTTGTATATCAGCTATTACTGAATGAAGAAACCACTGCCACTGGTCTTGACAGTGAATCCCGTCCATGACACTGCATCCCTAGTGGGTGGGATGCACATGCCATGACAGTGAGGGTCTGCTGAATTGCCTCTTACTTCTGTTGGCCCTGTTTCTGCCAAAGTTGCTGAGGAGAAGCTTTTCTCCCTGGGACTGGGTGGAGCAAGGTTTCTCCCAACAGGAAAACAAAAAGGGAAAAGGAATGCATGTTTGTGGGTCCTGCTCTGTACATGTCAACCTCTAGGCCCTTGCTTGCCTGCCTTCCTTTATCTTTATAATCTGCCCCCCCCCCACCACCATGTAAACCTCCTGACCACAGGGTCTGTCAGATTTGCTGATTGCTGTATTCACAATGCCTTTAGCAGTACTGTTTTATTTGTGAGTTTGCAAAAAATATGTAAGTGAATAATCACTCCCCAAAGTATCCTGCGGCCTCCTGCTGCCGCCAGTTCATCTGTGTCTTCTCCCTCGCCCCCAGCAGCGCCCGGTGACTCCCTTGTGAGCCTCACTTCCCTGGGCTTTTAGCATGACCTTGCTCCCTGCATGTCCTCCTGCTTCTCTGTCTGCTACATCCTGGGTGTTTGCTGGCACTTGCTTCTCATCCAACTCACTTAATGTAGCCTCTCTTAATGTTCGGTGTCCAGCCAATCTCTTCCTGTTCTACAGTGTCTTCCAAGGTGACTCGTCTACACCTCTGAGCACAATGACTATGCTGATGGCTTCGAATATACAATTTCTCTCCAAATCTCTTCTCTGAGCAGCTGTCCCTAATCTAAACTGCTCCCTGTCCATTGCTTCTGCCATTGCTTCTGTGAGGTGTGTCCTGGGCATCTTGGTTATGTACTATTTGCTTTTCTTGTATAACGCAGGGTAAATTTGGTTCTGTTCTAAAATGATTTTCTCAGATTGATTTTCCCTGACCTGCTTCCTCTGCCTCCAGTATGGGAAGGTCCTTTCAACTGTCCTGCAAACTCGATGCATTTCATCTTGATTCTTCACATACCCTCATATCTCAGCTGAAAGTCCAACAGATAAGGCATCTCTCTATTGTACTTCTTATATTGAACACTTAGCTCAACACCTGATGTATGAGGGCCTTGCAATTAATTAAATCCTCTGAGCTAATGAGAATTAGGTGGGATACAAGTCAGACAAGAGCTGGGTAAGGAGGGAGTGGAAGCAGTGTCTATCAGCGGTCTGCGGATTTGGGGCTCTGTGTCTGACCCCGCAAGGGACCTGCATTCAGTTTGATTTGGCTTGATTTTAATTTGATTTGTTTTGTTTTGTTGTAGAAGTCTGTTTTTGGAAATAAGCATTCATTGAAACACAGTAATTACTATTCATTTACACACTATGTCAGGAGCTATAATGTGTATGCATCTTCCAGCCAATTTTAAAAATTCTATATATTTAAGGTTTAAGTAGTGATGAATACACACTGCAGCGAAATTAGTTTCATAGCCAGGTGAATTACCTGTCTTCTCACTGGTTACCTTTGGTGTGCATGGTAGAAGTCCCTCACACCTATTCCCTATGTCAATTTCCATTATACAGTGTTATCTTGGTCTATTTTCTGTTGCTATGTCAAAATACTCAAGATTGGTTAATTTGCAAAAAATAGAGGTTGATTTAGCGCAGAGTTCTGGAGGTGGAGAAGTCCAAGAACACAGGACCAGCATCTCCTTGTTCTCTGTGAATGCCTTCTTCCTGCATCATAAGGTGGAGGAGGGCATCGAATGGTGAAACTGCAAGCTTTCTGGAGAGACCCCATTTTACCACGAAGCCATTTGCTTTATAACCCATTAATTCCTAAGTGGATTAATCTATTTACAAGGCCAAAGCACCAAGACCCAATCACTTCCTAAAGGTCCTACCTCCAAAGACCAATAACATATGAACTTGGGGATTATGTTTCCAGCGCACACAAAAAGTGGTGGACACAGGCAAACCATGGTAAATATAATATTAACTATCACATCTCTCTCTAAATCAATATGCTGGCTGAAGTCCTAACTCTAGTACCTCAGATTATGACTATATTTGAAGATGGAGTCAGAGTTTTTAAAAGTGAGTTAAAATGAGGTCCGATGGTGGCCAATCCAACCCAACAGGACTTACATCCTCATAAGAAGCAGAGATTAGGAGGCGGACATTGCTGTTCAGTGAGCGAGTACTTGGATAGTGTGTGTGAAGCCCTGGCATTGATTCCAGCAACTCACACGAACA